GAAAAGATAAAAGCAATGTACATGGCTGTATGTACAGATTGCTATGATTCGTGTACACGTATTTTGGATTGTTAACTTGATAACAAAATCTGATTCCTACCACCTTTCCTTTCTTTTTCAATTTTATTGCTGTCTAAATAAAATAAATTCAGTAAAAATCAAATGAGTACACGTGTGATGTGCACATATTTTGTTAATTTGATAGGGAATCTTCTACCATCTTTATTTTCGTTTTCAATTTTTCTGTTGCCTGAATGAAACAAATTCAATAGAAAAGACAAGAGCAATGTACATACATAGCTATATGTATAGATTGCTATGAAGACAGTATACGTATTTTGAATTGTTAATTTGATATGAAATCTGATTCCTACCACCTTTATTTTCTCTTTCAATTTTACTGTTGCCTGAAGGCAGGTTGCTATGAAGGCAGGTTCATGTATATGCATTTTGGATTGTTAATTTGATATGAAGTCTGATTACTACCTTTCCATTCTTTTTCAATTTTACCGTTGCCTGAATGAACCAAATTTAGTAGAAAAGATAAGAGTAATGTACATGACTATGCTTTTACACTATGGATTGCTATGAAGACAGGTTCGTGTATACGTATTTTGGATTGTTAAGTTAATAGAAATTTGATTCCCATCACCTTTTAATTTCTTGGCAAACATTGATACAGTTGCAGCGTGTTTCTTCGTAGATAAATTCATTCATTCGAACATCGTATATCTGATCAACTGTATTTCTACAATGAGATCAGTGGTTCACGAAGATCAATAGTTGATATTTTCGTTAAAAGATCTTAATATTTGAACGATTCGTTCGATCTATATTTAATGAATAATATCGTCACGATATTTGTGACACGTGAATACCCATGTACGTCGATGATATGACGTTCTTACTTCACACGATCTCACAGCCTATTTTGTTTATTTTCACTGTCACGCGAAGATATACGACCTGATTTCGAGTGTGACGGTTCTGAATCTGTAACAAAAATTGGCCAAGAGCACTATGATCAATCACAGCATCATTTCTTCATCATCAGCTAGTCACTTTTCTCTCTCTTTCTAACGTGTGTACACCAAAATGAACGTCGAAATGTCGGGATTTCGGGCTTCAAATGCAATTTGCCTCGTGTTTGAAATCCTAAGCCAAAATTGAATCCAAACCTTTTCGTAGATTAAACACGAAATTCAATATAGTTGCGACTTTTATTTAATTTGATGTTGCCGATGAACACCGACCACCAATTACGCCAATAATTTAACGATATTAGAATAAACGTGGATGCATGGTAACCATACACCGTATAGTAATTCGAGATTTTCGTTTCTCCTCGAATTCGAGACGGCTTCGCAGAAAAAAAAATGTGAAATCCAATTTGCCCAGGCGAGGAAAATAAAGCGGGACTTCGGGGCCAAATCGACGCGAGTACTGTCATAATTTCCATGTTGAATTTACGTTATAGAAAAGATAGGAGGATGGCGGAAAGTTCGAAGAGCAAAGGAATTTACCGTGATGAAAATGAACAAGACTAGATTGGCAAGAGGAATTACGAAAATGTCGAAACGCGAGAGCGAGAAAGTAAAAAATTTAACGCGAGGCAAGATCGGCAGCAGTCGGGTCGCGAACATGGGAAACAGAAATGCAATAACCTAGAAAACATAACTGAATAGTCGATCGATAATGAATTCCGAAAAAAGAAAAAAAAAGAGTGTTGCAGAAACACGATAAAAACCGAAATGGAATACAAACGAGATAACAGGGCCGTAGAATACAAAATGAGATCAACGGTAGCATTTTTTTGCAAAAATGATATAAAGTCATCGATTTACTTTTTTCCCATTTTTAATAAAAGCTTCGGCTTTCACTACGTTCTTTTAATTTGTAAAATTCATACTTGCTGCCTGGCGAGGTACGACAAGAGAATAACAGAACATAAAACTGGGCGACTTGGCGGGGCAAAAGAATAAGAAATTTAATATGAAACAGAAAGGGAAAGACATGAAAGGAGCGAGACGCGTAATCTAATGCCAAATCCACACACATACACACACACACACACACACACACAGAGAGAGAGAGAGAGAGAGAGAGAGAGTTTTAAAAGACGAAAAAAAGAAAGAAAGAGGAAAAATGACGAGAGCTTAAAAGAAGGTCGCTTAAAAGATCAAAAAAAAAAGAAAAAAAAAAAAAAAAAAAAAAAAAAAAAAAAAAAAAAAAAAAAAAAAAAAAAAAA